GTCTCGATCTCCTGACCTCATGATCTGCCCACCTCAGCCTCCCAAAGTGCTGGGATTACACGCATGAGCCACCATGCCCAGCCCAGACCTCTTTTATAAGGGAACTAATCTCATTCATGAGAGCAGAGCCCTTATGATCTAAGTGCCTCTCTTCTCAAAGGCCTGACCTCTTAATCCTATTGCATTGGAGATACACTGCAACATGAATTTCAGGGGCCCATAAACATTCAGACCATAGCACCCTCCCATCCTTCTCCCAACACTTGCTACCTTCTAGACATCTTCCTTCTTTTCTGTGCCAGTTCCCACCACAGGCCTTTGTGTTCTTTGTTCCTTCTGCCAGGAACACTGTTCCCCGTGGACTTCATGTTATTCCGGTCTCAGCTCCACTATTCCTAATCAGGATGCCCTTCCTGACCTCCCTAGCCAAGGCACCACCCCTTCACAGTGCTGGGCTTGGTTCCTTATTCACCATGACTCAGCCTCCCTCCTGTCTCCCAAGGCTGAGCACAGAATTTGGTGCAAAGCTGACACTTGGTAGTGGCTTGTTGAGTGACTGAGTGGAGTAACACCCCCATCTCAGTGTCCTGGGAGTCTCCACTCACGCCAGATCACACAAGGGATCCAAAGAGAACCCCTCACAGCACTTGTCATCTGGTCCTGGATGGATAACAGTTTCCTTAAGAGCCAGTGGTTCTGAGATGGAGAAGCCTGGGGTGCTGTGGGAGCCCAGAGTGGGCAGGTAGGGCTTCCTGGGGGAGGTAAGGAGAGCAGAGGACTCTGGGCAGAGGGAGCAGTGTGTACCAGGGAATGGGGTGCAGTGAGTGGGGGCACCTGATTAAAGAGCTTGATCTCAAACCTCCTGGTTGGTGGGGAGAGCCATGCCAGGGGCGGGGGGTGGGGATTTAAGAAGAGGGATGGGCTGGGCACGGTGGCTCACGCCTGTAATCCCAGCACTTTGGGAGGCCGAGGCGGGCGGATCATGAAGTCAGGAGATCAAGACCATCCTGGCTAACACAGTGAAACCCTGTCTCTACTAAAAATACAAAAAAATTAGCCAGGTGTGGTGGCGGGCGCCTGTAGTCCCAGCTACTCGGGAGGCTGAGGCAGAAGAATGGCGTGAACCTGGGAGGCAGAGTTTGCAGTGAGCCAAGATAGTGCCACTGCACTCCAGCCTGGGCGATAGAGCAAGACTCTGTCTCAAAAAAAGAAAAAAGAGGGATGGGGTTGGAATCATGTTTCTGGAAGAATCTGCAATTGGAAACGTGTCTCCTGGCGGCTGTGTGGATGATATTGGACGGGGAGAGGGGCTAGGGGACCAGGGTTGTAGGTCCCGGTGAGAGACACCTTGAGACCAGCAGTAGAATGTGGGAGGAAGGGTTGTTTTTAGTTCATTTCTTCATTTTGCAAAGCAATGCACTAAAAAGCCAAACAGCCTGTAAAAGCACACGGTGAGGAGTCCTCTGCTTCTACCCAGGCCCCGCCCCCTCCCCACCCCTGTCTCCTTCCCCAGAGGTGACTATTTCCATGTCTCCTTCCAGAGAGGTTCTATGCATTTGCAGATCTCTCTCTCTCTTTTTTTTTTTTTTTTGCATCTATATCCTTTGTATTTAAATATCCTTCACCCCCATCTCATGGAGTAAAATACAGCCAGGCACAGTGGCTTATGCCTGTAATCCCAGCACTTTGGGAGGCTGACGCAGATGGACTGCTTGAGCCCAGAAGTTTGAGACCAGCCTGGGCAACATGCCAAGACCCTGTCTCTACCAAAAAAAAATATGAAAATTAGCTGGGAGTGGTGGTGCACACCTGTAGCCCCAGCTACTCAGGAGGCTGAGGCAGGAGGATGGCTTGAACTCAGGAAGTCAAGGCTGTGGTGAGCCGTGATCATACCACTGTAAACCAGACTGGGCAACGGAGCAGGATCCTATCTGTTTAAAAAAAGAAGTTTCTTGGCCAGGCATGGTGGCTCACACCTGTAATCCCAGCACTTTGGGAGGCTGAGGCAGGCGGGATCACCTGAGGTTGGGAGTTCGAGACCAGTCTGACCAACATGGAGAAACCCCGTCTCTATTAAAAATACAAAAAGAATTATCCGGGCGTGGTGATGCATGCCTGTAATCCCAGCTACTTGTGAGGCTGAGGCAGGAGAATCGCTTGAACCCGGGAGGTGGAGGTTGCAGTGAGCCAAGATTGTGCCATTGCACTCCAGTCTGGGCAATAAGAGTGAAACTCCATCTCAAAAAAAAAAAAAAGTTTCTTTAGTAGCAGGGGATTGTATACATGTACCTTGCGTTTTGCAAATGTCACTTAAAACAACTAGAAGTCACTGATCCATCTCAATTTTTCTTTTTTTTTTTTGAGACAGAGCCTTGTTCTGTCGCCCATGCTGGAGTGCGGTGGCACAGTCTCGGCTCACTACCACCTCCATCTCCCAGGTTCAAGCAATTCTCGTTCCTCAGCCTCCCGTGTAGCAGGGACTACAGGCGTGTGCCACCACTCCCAGCTAATTTTTGTATTTTTAGTAGAGTTGGGGTTTCACCATGTTGGCCAGGCTGGTCTCAAACTCCTGGCCTCAAGTGATCCACCAGCCTTGGCCTCTCAAAGTGCTGGGATTACAGGTGTG